TTTTTGGGCATAATAGGATACAATTAGGTTTTAAAATTCCTCCGAAAATTGTAACTTGATTTTTGCTTATTTTTGCAGTCTTTCTAGATTAGCTTTCTCCACATTGCCAGCCTTTATTTTATTTTTTTGATTTTTTTTAAAAGTAAATTTTGGAGAATAACCCAGAATTGGGTTATGACAAGTATGTTGTTTAAAGTGTGGATGTAGGTTTATCAAACCATGTTAAAAATCAAGTTTATAATTTTTATCTCTTTACTCTTTACTTTATGCAATTTAATTATATTATTGGTTAATTGTGCTTAATTGATGTAATTGTAATATTTATTATTATTAGTGGAATACATAATTTATCCCTTCTTAGATGTATTGTTGTCTTAATTCTAAAATGATACTTTTACACTTTTTTAATTTTTTCTGCTTTCATGCTTGTTTGTAAGATCTTGGCATGGAAAAGGATCGAAAGATAATTAATTGGCCTATTTCAATGGCTTCATAGTTGTCAAATAAGGCAATGCTGAATCAAAAAATGGAAGGAAAAAAATAGAACTTAAGATGTTTCTAGGTAATGCTAGTGATATTAAAGATTTATGAGATAGGTTAATTAGAATAACATTTCTTGCTTCTTTATTTATGTGAAGATGTTTTGTTTCTTCATGATAAGGATGTTAAATCTTGGGGCTTTTAGGCTTATTCATTTCATTAATGATCAATAAGTTTTAGTAAAAACAAAACATTCAAATCATCCACCTATTGGCTATTAAATTGTATTGATTAAGAGATAATTGGTTATTTCTCATCCATTTTGTTTTACATTTAGCCTTTTCTTTTCCAACTTGCTAATTAAAATTTGAACAAATTACAATCAATCACTCGATAGTTAGAGTAATGCACACAGCTTAAGAAAATTTATATTACCTCATAAGGCTATAATTTATTCTTTTTTAACTTTGAGGTGATTGAGAAATTATTTACTAAAATCATTGTGCATCCATGAGCCAAAATAACAATGATAATTTATGTAATTAAAATATGGAGGTTTTTTTTTTACAAGAAGTTTAAATATAGATAGAGTTATAAGGCTCAATGGTAAAAATTTTGCCACGAAATCCATGAATTTATTTACAAATTTAAATGTGAATTTGATCTTAGATGATTAATTTTTGATCTCTCCTAACTTGTAGCATTTATATTTAGAAAACAAGAAGAATAGTGACACGATCAAAAGATTGATGTCTTCTCCCAAGCATAGGTGTGTTGAAGTAATAAATAACTATACAAGACTAGGTCGAACCACAGGGAGGTTGACTATATAAATTGTAAATGATGATGATGATGATGATGATGAGGAATTAAAGAATTTGAGATGTAAGATTAATGTAAAGATTAATTAAAGAATTTGAGATGTAATATTAATGTAAAGATTAAACAATGATAAAAATAGTTGTCAAGGTTAGAAGATCCACTAATTGTATCTCAAATAAGTATAATGTAAGCTTCTTTTATTACTCAACTAGAAAGCACACACAAAAGAGGTTCCAATTGTATGATTTGTCATTAATAGCTCATTATAAATTATTAACATGATCATATTAATTATCTTATTTGAGTAACACCAAATTTTTATATATTATCAGGAATTCATGATGCTAACTTATGTTAACAACAAATCAAGTTTCTTTCATAGCACAGGTGTAGGTTATACCGTACAATTGGCTATGAAACTACCATATATTTGTTGTACCAAATATTATACAACAGTACAATTGACTATGAAACTGCCATATATTTGTTATACCAAATATTATACAACACAAATCTAGATTAACCATATAACAAAGAAGGTATTAAGAATTAATAAGATAAAAATGATAAGACATGTAAATAGCAAACTTTCTTGAATGTAAGCATTGAAGTTCATGTTGAGTTTATATTATACATATTCTAATACTATTAGTGAAACCTTTTCACCTTGACATATTAAACTTAGTTAAACAATATGAATAAGAGAAATATAGATAAACAAAATAAGAATATAATTATATAAGTATAGTAAAGGAAATGAAAAGTATAAACAAGATATTAATAAAACTATAACATGAAATAAAACTAGAACATTAAAACTACAAAGGAAGAAAACAAGTAAGGAAATAATCTTGATATGAAAATCAAGATACCTAAAGGCATGATAAATGCCTCCTTTTATAGGCTAAAATTTGGAACAATTAATTTGATAACTAATTGTTGAGTGGATGGTTATATCTTGACTTGGTGACAATCCTTATCTTATTGTCTGAACAAAATATCATTGCTAACATCAGAATTTGAACAAATAATTTTCATAAAATTTTTAAAAAATTGTCTCAACTTTCCAATACAAAAAAAAATCGGTGCATTTGGACTTCTAGAACTCAAGATATAGGTTGAACACTGAATAATATCTAGGCTACAGGACATATTCAGACTTCTCTTTTGATGCTAAGATTTGGACTTCTAAACAACAGAATTGAGTTTGGACTCTTCATGAATGTTTTAGGCTTATGTCTTAGCTTTCTAACCAAATAAATCAAACTAAAATCCAAGATCTACAACTCCAAATATGATCCAATGACTAAACAATGTTCTAGTTTAAATTGAATCAGCATCTCTTTTCTAAGCTTGGCCTTTTTTTTTTTGTCCTTTCACTTTCAATAGTTAATCACATCAATCAACTATTTGAATTGTGAGATATACCTGCATTTAAAATGAGTATTTACAATAAATTAATTTCATCTTATATTATCAGACTTGTTATTATAAAACATGATTAAGTTAGGAAATTTAATGATATTTTAAGTGCAATATAATTATACAAAACCTTAATGAAAATACACTTTTAAGTACTAATCAAATAGGTTATATATCTCAATGTCTAAGTTGTAATCTCTCTGGTAGTTTATTATTCTTTTTTAAGTGGCATTTGAGGCTCTTGATTCGAGTAGAATCTTTTTTCTTATATACATAATAAGTTTATTGAATGTCAAACCTATCTAGTGCTAGATTTTGTTGTTCATCGAGTGCAAAACTGCTTGCTAAACATGCTTATAATTGTGTATTTTCAAAATATCAAATTTTATTTATTAATAGACAAGATAACGGGATTGTAGAAAACATCCATAAAACATGTAAATCATAGACTATTTTTGAATGGATGATGTTCATGATGAAATCGCAACTATTTAATAGAATAAATAGGCTATAATAATAGAATAATAAAACTACTTTATATTTCAGGATATATATAAATAATAATAATGCTTAGATTTTTAGCTAGGCTAACTCTGGAATTTGTATATTTATTGTATAAAATAGGACCTTAATATTGTTTTGCTATATTTCTTATATATTAATAATCACATGTTTATGTAATTTAAAGTTATGAAATACATTTAAGGTTATAAAAAATATTTTCAACAACAATTTTAACAAAACATCTTTTCACTACTTTTAGTCAACAATAATTTTAATTCAACTAGCAGTAGGTAAAAGTTTTTTTTTAATTTATTTTTTTTCAAACTACAACCATAAAAAATATAATAATACAAAACACACATTAAGATTATGGTGCAGGGTACTTCTCAAAAGTGTTATTTGCTTGAAAATGCATTAATTTTTTTTTTATTTTTATTTTTAACGTCAACACATTAAAACCATCAGAAAACACTAAAAAAAACCCATCAATTTAATGTTTTTTTCAAGCCAAACGCTCTTAGACCTTATTTGGAGCTATGTTTGCACCGGTGTTTCAATAAAATTTGAACTTTGTTTCTGTTTAAAACTATTTTTTTATATTTTTAAATTGTTTTGATATGTCAAAAATATTTTTTTAAAAATAAAAAGATATTATTATAATGTATTTTCAAGTAAAATATAATTTGAAAAGTAACCGCCACTGTACTCTCGAACACTCCCTTAAAAATAATTCCAAACACAATGTCAAAAACACACTCTAAATTGTATTGTTTTTATGAATTCAATTGAGATTCTCAATTGTACGATTTCTTTTATTATGAGAGTAAAAATGCATAATACGATTTTTTTTATTATGAGAGTAAAAATGCATAATAGTATAAAAAAAGATTGATTAAGCTACTAGTATAATCACTACAGTAAAACCTTGTATGCTATATTGAGATAACTAAAAAATTGTCATTTCACACGAATTCTATTTTTGCTATTCATTGTGTTGAGAGTTCATTTCTTTTGATGTTCAAACACATTAACCTGGCATTGAAATGTAAATGCCATTGTTGACATACATTTAAATATAGCATACAAGGTTTTACTGTAGTGATTAATTCCTTCTTTTATAACATTTAAATATATATATATTATGTATATATATATATATATATATATAATAAGGAGGTGAATTAATTATTTGTCTCCTCATCTAATAGTTTTTATTTTTATTTTTTAATTTCAATATTTAATATTAAGTTTATTGGAGATATAAATTCATAATTTTTTAATTTATTTTTTTATAAAATTGTTTATATCTCATAACTTGAGTCACGAGTTCACCTAAGTTGAATTGAATAGTTTTTATATTATTTTTTTAATTGAATATCTCATAACTCGAGTCATGAGTTCACCTAAGTTGAATTAAATAGTTTTTATATTATTTTTTTAATTGATTTTTTTAACTTTATCCTTCAATATTGGGTTGATTGATAATTTA